ATCAATTTGTTTTATGCCCTTTTGGGTTGTGATAGGTCATTTTTGGCCAATAGAAGCTACAGGCTGGAAATTTTATGCATTTGATTCGTTTTTATTTTATTTTTCTTTCATTTACAATAAAAAGGAAAAAATAATGGGAAGCATTAGTTTTTGTTTCAAAATTTTTAAAGAAAAGAAAAGTTAATTTCATATAATTACCAACTTAAGCTTTAGAACAAATTATTCTAAACACTTTTATAATATGAAAATAAAACAAATAATTTCTAACATAATAAAAATTGAATACATATATAACACTTACTCTTCAATGTTCAGTATCAATCAAATAAACCCTTGTATAGTGAGGGTTAAGTATTAGATTTTGAATTACAATGACTATCATCATAATTGAGTATTAAGTGTATGCACTTTACTATATACCCTATTAATTTGGAAATCATTTATTTTAATTTTTAATTTACTCTTAGGACAAGTTTTATAATCATACAAATTTTATGACATAATTAAAATAATAAGTTTTAAAAATCTTATAAATACACAAGTTTTATGTTATATTTGACTCTATAATTTTAATTCTTTTCTTAAATTTCATACCAAAGTCAAATATTTCCCGTATCGAACTAACAATTTATTTGGATGGTTTTTACCTATTGTATTGTATTGTATTGTATTGCTATTTTAAATATAATTTTTTGGGGGTTTGTTACTTAAATTTTATTGTATCGTATTGTTAAATTCGTCGTTATGTAACGACGAAAAGTGTCACTTTATATAACGACCGATTTGGTGTGGTCACGTTGTTAGCTTATTTTTTTTCTCTCATCTTGCATTTATATATTATTAAATAATTATATTTTATTCGTTATCATATCTTTTTATATAATAATTATATCTGATACCTCACTTTTTCATTGTAATATTACAAATTTTTCATATTGTTGGTCCATGGCATCATAAAATAACGGCAAACAACATAATTTATCCAAACATTGTATACATTAAATGATAGAGTACAATACAATACAATACGATACGATACATTATGAAACGATATATAATAAACATCCAAACAAGCTGTTAGGAATTTGAAATCTATATTATATTAAAAGGAGAGTAGTTTGCAATGTGGTTAAGCCAAGTGGCAAGCTAAAATGAAGCCACCTGGCAATTTTAAGACAACAAAAAAAAACTTGGATTATAAATGGAAAAATATTTAATGAAGTAGTAGTCCAAGATTTTCTGTAAAATGAATTTCATTCTTTAATAAATCAAAGCCAATTATTTGAATATTTAAACTCAAAATGTTCTCTTTTTGAGAATCTGTTGGACGTACACAAAGAGGGATGCAACTTTCATTAAGCAAACAAATATATTATAGCTATAGGTATCTTTACTTAAATTTGTGTATAATTCAGTTATGGTAGGTATCCTTTTTTGAGAAAGAACAACTAAAATTTCGTTTTGTATCTTACACATTAATTTTAAGTTGAAATAATAATTTTATATTTAGTACAAGCTTTGTATCTGACTTTATTTGCGAACAATATACATTAATATAGGTATCATATACATTACTATAAGTATTTTTAATTAATTTTTGTGTATAATTTATTATTTTTTAAACTAAAAATGTTCTCTTTTTGAGAATATGTTGGACGTATACAAAGAGGGATGTAATTTTCATTAAGCAAGCAAATATATTATAGCTATAGCTATCTTTACTTAAATTTGTGTATAATTCAATTATAGTAGGTATCCTTTTTTGAGAAAGAATAAATTAAAATTTTGTTTTGTATCTTACACATTAATTTTAAGTTGAAATAATAATTCTATATTTAGTACAAGCTTTGTATCTGACCGTATTTGCGAACAATATACATTAATATAGGTATCATATACATTACTTGTAACGACCCGACCGATCGTTTTGAGCTTTTGCACTTCGCTCGTCAGTTCTTGGGCATTACTTGCCTCGTGTAGTGCATTATGACTTATGTAAATCATTGGTGTTGGGTTTCAGGTTAATCAGAATGAATTTGGAAGAATAGTCCTAGTTGAAAGCTTTGAATTTGAAAGGTTTGACCAAGAGTTGACTTATGTGTAAATGATCTCGGATCGGACTTTTTATGATTTGTCTAGATCCATTAGGTGATTTATGACTTAGGAGCGCGATCGGAATTGGTTTTGGAGGTCCGGTGTGGAATTTGGCTTGAATTGGCGAAAGTAGTATTTTAGCGATTTCCGATTGATAGGTGAGATTTTGATCCAAGGGTCGGAATGGAATTCCAAGAGTTGCTTTAGCTTCATTATGTGATTTGGGATGTGTGTGCAAAATTTCATGTCATTCGGAGGTGATTTGGTCAGGTTTTTGATCAAATGCGTGTTTCGCAAGTTTTTGGAAAACTTAGGCTTGAATTCGATATGAATTGATGGTTTTGATGTTGTTTGAGGTATTTTGTTGATTGGAAAAGGTTTGAATGATGTTATGGGGTGTGTTGGCATGTTTGGTCGGGGTCACATGAGGCTCGGATAAGTTTTGGAAGAGTTTTTGGAAGATTTTTGCCGTTTTGAGCATAAACACGTAATGATCCAAAGGTCCATTTTTAGTTCTCGAGATTGAAATTTGATTTCGAGACTTCCAAAATTTTGATAATGAATTATAGGACTGATCTGGAAAGTTTGGTCCAATTTCATCAAGTCACGATTGGGTTTTTGACGCGAAACATCTGATAATTGTTTAACGAGCGAAATGGATATCGCACTGAGCAAACGAGCTCCGAATTGAGTTTCGACTGAAGGGATATGTTTGTATCATTATTTGTGACTCATAGGAACAAGAATCATCGAATTCCGAGGTCCCAGGCCTGAGAAATAAATTTTTGAGAAAAATTGTTTTCTGAAAATATTTAAGGAAAATGGAAATGAAATTTGATTAGAAAATGATGATATCGGGCCCGTATTTTAGTTCCGGTGCCCGTTACAGGTCGCATATATGGTTTAAGAACTTTCTGTAAAGTTTGGTTGAAAACAGACGTCATTTGATGTGTTTCGGACTCAAAATGGAAAATTTGATGTTTTATGAAATTTGAAAGAATTCTTGGATTTTNTGGGCGCCATCATGACCGGGGTTGGGGTTGTGACATTACTATAAGTATTTTGAATTAAATTTTGTATATAATTTATTCTTTTTTAAACTAAAAATGTTCTCTTTTTGAGAATATGTTGGACGTACACAAAGAGGGATGCAATTTTCATTAAGCAAACAAATATANCGGAGTGATTTCGGACTTATGAAAATTTGGAGAAAAATTGCAAAAATAGTACCCAGTGAACAGTACCGTGAACAGTAACCGCGCGGGGTGAACAATGACCCGTGAACAGTACCTGTGAACAATGTCGTGTACAGTTAACCCGTGAACAGTAACCCCATGAACAGTACCGGACAGAATGTTAAGTTCGGGAGATTTTCCATTTTTAACGATTTGGAGCTCGNAAACAATATACATTAATATAGGTATTATATACATTACTATAAGTATTTTTAATTAAATTTTGTGTATAATTTATTATTTTTTAAACTAAAAATGTTCTCTTTTTGAGAATATGTTGGACGTANTCGAATAAGGCGATTTTTTGGGAGATTTTCGGAGAGAACAACGGGGTAAGTATTCTTAACTTAATTTTGGTTAGATTACTCGAATCTATTACAAGTTTTGGCATTAAATCCGTGAATTTAGCGGGAAAAGTTAGAAACCCTCTCGGATAGAATTGAGAATTTGAGGGTTGAAATGTTATGGGAATTTGATAATTTTGGTATGGTTTGATTCGTGGAGAGATAAGGAACTCGTTGATGTAAAAATTCCTGAATTTCGAGACGTGGGCCCGGGGCTCGGGTTTTTGCTAATTTTGAGAATTTTGGTATTTTTCGATTGTTTTGATTGGGCTTTGTTCNTGATCGAATTCATGCAACTATTGGAAGAGCTATTATGCGTATTTTCAAAACAAAAATACATTAAATGGGATTGTACGTTATGAAAAACTTTGTGGTTGGACCAAACAATCTGAAAATTAAGACCATCAAGCATATATTGAAACTAAAAATTACGGGGGTTCCATCAATTTTTGATATTGGGAACATATTGAGTTCCCAGTTGGTATTCTATTGTTTATATCCATATAAAATATATTATTATTGTTTAAGTTCTCACTTCAGCATAATCAACCCTTCCACCGGCTTCATCTATGGTTTGAATAAGTAAATTTATCAGCTCTCCGCAATTAACCTGTTCCTTTTCTGTCTCAACTTTGGCTTTAGACAGTGTTAGGCTAATAGACAAAGCCTGTGGAATGGTAGAAAGAGTAAAAAGTTTCAATTACCACAAATGCTGGACAATAATAAAGAGAGAGCCTTAGCAAGAAATCAGTTTTTGTATATGCATTGTCGCATACATTTTGATTCTGAATAAGCTAATGTTTGACATAATTCATGTTCCTTTATCGTTGACTCAATACAGAGGATAACTTTTGAAAAATGCACTGCAATATATCATGAGCAGTTGCTACAAAAATATTCCCTTAAGCACATGGTTCATATCAAGCAAATTGTATAGCATTATTATTTTTCGTGGAACATTCATATCAAACAAATTGTATAGTATCATTATTTTTTATAGAACANACGCCGCAACAGTGTTACATTGATATTGAGGATGAGAGCCTGGTTGATTACATTGATATTAAGGCCGAGGGCCTGGTTGATTACATTGATATTGAGGCCGAGNTCTTAAAATATTTTTAATCTTTAGTTGTAAAGATGGTATTAACACTAACATATTAAACTTTACGGCGTAGATCATTCTTTTTTATATACTAATACTAGTACTAATATTAATAAGAGGAAAATATTTATGTGCACAAGATATATATTTTGTGGAAAATTCCAAACAAGTATAGTAACAACGTTGTATATTTGTGTTATAAATATTATCCCAATATCCCATTGTATCTAGTCTGAGAAAGAGGGAAGATCGAGATAGCAGCAGCTTAAGCAAATAGCAATGGCAACTTTCATCAACAATCCCTTGACTTCACTCTGTTCCAACACCAACAAGTCTGAAGCTAATCTCTTCAGAATTTGCCCTTTAAGGGCTCAGACTTTGGGGATTTCCAAGTTTAACCCCAATAGAAAGGCTACTTTCCCTTCTATTGTTTGCAAAGCGGTGTCTGTGCAACCAAAATCAGCCACTGAAGTTGAAGGACTTAACATCGCTGAGGATGTTACTCAGGTGAATTTATCATTTAATCCTTATTTGGGTTCATTTCGTGTTCTTGAAATAATAAGGATTTGTACTCACTCTGTTCCAATTTTATGCGATAAAGACTTTTCGAACTTGTTGTTTAGCCATAAAAATTTCAGTAGTTATAAATCATCTCATTATTATATTAAGAATAAAATGTGAAGTTTAAAGTTAAACTTTTTCTGAATATAGAAATGTTTCATTTTTTTTGACAGACTATAAAGGAAAATTGAATAACATAAATTGGGTATAAAGGGAGTAATGAATTTTCTTGTTTTCTTTTTTAATTTCTTATCTGAGGGTGTTTGACTGTTTGATGGATTGCCTCTGTTGGAGTTATTTTGGTTTCGTTTTTATTTGTCTTGAATTAGTTATTTTGGGTGAATGATCATTCAGGGTAAATTTCTTACTCTAAAAATGCATTTTGGTACGGTGAAAAATGTTATCCATGGAAAATATTTTAGGCGTTTTGGAAAATCATTTTTTGCACTATTATACAGTGGTTCGGTATTGAAGTTGGTGTGGTAACTGTACAGGGAGTAGAGCAGGATATAGTGATAATATTTTTATGAAATGTTTGATATTTAAGTGACCACTAGCCCTCGGGGATTTCTCAGTTTTTAAAAAAAAAATTAATATAAAGGATAAGAATAAAGTGTTGATTGAAGCAAGTGATATGGAGTAACACTTGAAATATTTGTATAAGAAATTATTTCGGCTTGTAAGTAAATGAAGTCATTTTTCCTTTTAGAAAACATTGCCACAATTCAATTCAAACGCTGAAAGACTTTCGTCAAAGAAAATATTTTCCTGGTTTACAAGTTTCCAATTTTAAGTCCTTTTACTCTTTTCCATAAAGGGTCCGCGAAACTTTCTTTGTTGAACTTTTGGCTTTTTAAAATTTGCCTGTTGTTTGGAATTGAGGCGTAGTTGCTATTATTGTTGTAATAGATGGGTTACTTAACTTTAGAACCTTTAATATGTTTGCAAGTTGCAACTCTGAACCGTATGAAAGACTTTTAGCATGAAAGATACATATACTTGTTGGTATTACTTGCCCCTCTATTCTGATGCCTACTCTATTTGTTTATGTTCTACATATTGTTATGCTAATTTTGTATATCATTTGACAGCTTATTGGGAACACACCAATGGTTTACCTTAATACAATTGTTAAAGGTTGTGTTGCAAACATTGCTGCTAAACTTGAGATTATGGAGCCATGCTGCAGTGTCAAGGACAGGTGAGAGAGGTCTTTGTTTGTGTCACAATATCCGGATTTCCTTCAACCTAGAATTTTGAACTGAAATATTCTTTTAATTAGCTTAGAGAATATCATATTGTATTGTCTTCATTCTTTTCTCTTAACTTTGAGTTCCAGAAGAGAATTTAACACCGTTCATGCTTTTTTCTGCTCTTGGGGTACATCTCTACAATTGCAAATCCTAATCTTAGACGAATGTATTTCTTGCAAACAAGCTAGTTCAGATAACTCAATATGCTCCAAAACAATCTCTAAAACTTTTTCCTTACATAGTACTTTTGGTTTCAATACTGACTACATGGGCTTCACACAGCATAGCTGTTCCAAGAACGAATAGATGAGGGTTGCAGTAAGTTCTTGCCGATGTAAAAACAGTCTAATTGTGAGAAGAGGATTCATATGGCCGACCCAACTAATTTGAGATTGAGACATAGTTGTTTGATTGATTGATTAATATTTCTTTTGCATTTCAGGATAGGGTTCAGTATGATTTCTGATGCTGAGGAAAAGGGACTTATATCTCCGGGGAAGGTAAGTTGGGCGATCAGCTAATTGTCTCTCTTGGTACAGACTTGACATATGCCATTCTGAATAAAAGGAATAAGTTCACCTAGGATGGCAAACGGGCAGGTCGGGTTGGATATGGGCGGGTAAAAATGGGTGATGCAAAAACGGATAAATTATCCGACCCGATCCATATTTAATCTGGATGGAAAATGGGTTAACCAGCGGATAATATAGATAACTATATTATCCAAGACTTTTTGAATATGATCACTTTTCGGAGAATTCCTAGTCTCCCAAACTTGAGGAACCCCTAATTTGTCATTAAAAATGTAAAAGTTAAACCAATTAGTTATCCATTGATTATCCATTTTCTAAGTGGATAATATTCATATTATCCATGTTTGACCCATTTTTAAAAAGTTCATTATCCAACCCATTGTTAGCGAATAATATTGATGTATAACTGTTTTTTATCCGTTTTGACATCAAGAAGTCCACCCTGTAATGTTCAAACATTTAGAAGTTTCTTGATTTGATATATTTTGAATGTTCTGTTGGGTCAAAGGCTATTATGCATCTATTATACGCTCAGCCTCTTGTGTTATTATGACGTAGAACCATAGGAACATCACCTATGTCATCCTATACCTGATATGAGTGTAACTGAGTGTCATCTTCTTTTAAATGACTGGAGTTCTTACAGATTTGTCCCGTTTTTTAGCTGTTTCTTAGTTATTTTTTCTACTTGTCTTAGACTGTTCTAGTGGAGCCTACGAGTGGAAACACAGGCATTGGGCTAGCCTTCATTGCTGCTTCCAGAGGATACAAGCTCATCTTAACGATGCCTGCTTCAATGAGTCTTGAAAGAAGGGTTCTTTTGAAAGCTTTTGGAGCTGAACTTGTTTTGACTGACCCAGCCAAAGGGATGAAAGGAGCTGTTTCAAAGGCTGAAGAAATATTGAATAACACACCAGATGCCTATATCCTTCAACAATTTGACAATCCTGCAAATCCCAAGGTTCTTCTCCCAATATACCAACCACTCTTTATTTTTATTATGTCAATTTATAAGTGAATGCTTAGCATCTGAGATTAAATGGCTCTGGCTCTACAATTTGCCCTAATCAATTTAAAGTACCCATGGTGATATTGGTAATTTCTCCTTTGTTCTGAACTTAAACATTCTTCCTAGTTATGTGTGTGTGTATGTGTCTTTATAATTTATACCTATTAACGATAATACCTACGTACCCCCACTCCCCTCTTCTTTTCCCGTGAAATGGACACTATTGTTGAGTTGCACATTGGGAAATTTATTTGTTTGTATGGTGCAGATACACTATGAAACAACGGGCCCAGAGATCTGGGAAGATACAAAAGGCAAGATAGACATACTAGTTGCAGGCATTGGAACTGGCGGAACCATTTCAGGAGCAGGGCGATTCCTTAAAGAGCAAAATCCAAACATTAAGGTATTAATGCTGTTTTGAAAGAAAAAAAGCACTATTCTGTTAGAGTTGCTCTGGAGATTTCTATTGCTAATAAGTAATCTTACTCTTTTCTCTATTTCTTTGTGTTATACCTTTATCAGATTATTGGTGTGGAGCCCACAGAAAGTAATGTACTATCAGGGGGAAAGCCTGGTAAGATGACATTCAGATGCTGATCTGACTTTTTGCTTTTGAAGTTAAATCCTGTCTTGTTCTATTTGCTGCAATGTGAAAGTGCAGGCCCTCACAAAATTCAAGGGATTGGAGCAGGTTTTATTCCAGGGAACTTAGATCAAGATGTCATGGATGAAGTGATAGAGGTCTCATTCTTATCTATCCCATTAAAGCTTTTTATTTCATCTTCTTTATACTTGTGAAAATTGAAAACTATGAAGGATTTCATGTGTCGTACATAGTCGTTTCTAAGATATAATAGACTAAGAACTGTTGCCATCTCAAAGTTGGTGTACCTATAATTGATGTGAGCCTATATTTCTCTGTTTTGTAGTGCAGTTATTACCATTTTGACGTAGTCCTACCTTTTACTAAATGAAACCTCTTTTTTCTGTCTTCTAGAGGGCAAAAATTGTTGACACTTGCTGAGTTTGTGAAATCTGCCTTCTCTTCCAACACTATTGTCCTGTTTCCCATTTAGGTTATACTAAAACTTTCTATGAATCAAAGTTGAATGGAGTTAATTATCAAATTTCACTTCACTCATTGAGAAAACATTGGTGTGTAGACTAAGCTTACAGGGAAGGATCTTGAAGGTTATTCTGCTTGGCAGAAACGGCATTTCTAACTACTCTTATTCCATCTGGTAAAACTGGGATGCAAAATCTATGGCCTGCTTCACCAAGACATCAACTAATTGGAACATATTTAGAATGTCAAACAGTTCCTTCAGCTTTATTTGCCTGAGAACTGCCTTTCCACAATTAATGTAGCGCTAGTTCATTCATTTAGCACTGTTTCACTCAATGCTACTCTACTCGAACATTTCTTAGTCCTTATTTAATCTCCTATCGAAATTGTAGGGGTTATTGTATACCCCAATTTTCTTCATCAAATAAATGCATCTGCATTACTTACCTTGTAAAGTTCTGTTAGAGAACAAGTTACCCCGATTATCAGTTATATAATTTTGCGCACAAGCCTTGCTATTGAATTTAGAATTGTTCCTTGTAGGTCCCTGTTTCTTAGTCTTGTTCTTTATAGTTCTTAAACAATGGGCATTGGTGCTAATGTTAGCTCTTATGCATCCTTAGTTATAGGCTAATTACTTCTGTATCTAGTAGACGTGTAGAGTTTAAATCTTGCTGACGTATTAGCACCCCAGGGTGTTGCCTAGTGGTCAATAAAGTGGGTTGGGAACCATGAATTCTTAGGTTCAAAACCCAACAGAGGCGAAAACATGAGGTGATTTCTTCTCATCTATTCAAGCCTTGGTGGACAGAATTACCCAGTACCTCTGCTGGTGGGAGATAGCAGGTACCTATGGAATTTGTCGAGGTGCGCAAAAGCTGTCGGACACCACGGTTATCCAGAAAATAAATCTCTGTATGCTTGTCATACAATCCAGGCCCCACAGAACAAAAAGAAAAAGAAAGAAAAAAGAACATAGCTTTGTTTGAATATTTGATCCAGATCATTTGCTCCTTTGGATTTTTGATAGGCTGTCATGTGTGTTATCTTCCAGTACTTGTCAGGGAAAAAATAAAAAATATATGTTATCTTCCTGAGGCTTTACACCTTTACTTGAATTTTCAGATATCGAGTGACGAGGCTGTTGAAACTGCGAAGCAATTAGCGCTACAAGAAGGGTTATTGGTTAGTGCTTTTTTTCCCACCATTCTATGTATCAGCTGATTTTTGAGACATGGCTTTAAGCGAACATAAATTTCAAATGCCCTTTAATTCATCCTTTTTCTAGATTGTGGATACATTATAAAGAACTTATTAATATTCTATTTGCAATTTCTAATATCATTAAGTATTAAAAACTTGCGGACCCTGTGTGAATGCTGAATGCTTTGTGCACCGAGCTGCCCTTTATATACTTAATATCATTCTGTGAACCATGCTGGATGATCTCTGAATTGGAATGCATTAGGTTTCAGTTCATATGATCCAGAATGTGTCTGGTATTTACTTTACTGTATACTGTCACCTTGAGCTACTTGAATGATCTTTTTCTACTTTTGATAATCAGGTTGGAATTTCTTCCGGAGCTGCTGCTCTTGCTGCCATTCAGGTTGGGAAGAGACCTGAGAATGAAGGAAAGCTTATTGCGGTAGGGTCAATTGTAACTTCCTGCATTTTTCTGACACTTGTGTGTATTCCCATGCTCCTTCATTTCCATTCTCTTCCAACTCATCAAACTTTAGTATTCGTTTTTTCCTGTACTTCTTACGAAGTAAGTCATCCTTCCCTGCATTTTCCCTGAAGTTTACAGATTTAGGGGTGTTTGGATTGGCTTATTTTAAGTGCTTATTGCCTTTTAAGAAATTTTTTTTGGCAATGGTAAAAAGTTCTTAAAAACACTTACTTCTAGGCATGAAAAGTACAAAAATAAGCCAAAAGCCAAAAATATGGCTTTTGGCTTTTAGCTTGTAAGGTACTTTTTAAAAACCAATCCAAACACCCTCTTAATAGCTCTGCATTGTTAAAAAAATCCTTTGAGTTCATTGCATGACACGTTGTCGCGTGAATATCATACACTTGTTTAAGATGCATTTTAACAATTCTTGTAGGTTGTATTTCCAAGCTTTGGGGAACGATACCTCTCCACTATACTTTTCCAGTCTATACGGGAGGAATGCGAGAAAATGCAACCAGAATCATGAATATCTTCCTTTTTTGAGCTATCTTNTATTCGAGCTGCTCAAGAAATTTTAGTGAAATTTCCGGGTTATATGCGTCTTTCAATTGCATTTTTCATTTTTCCTTTATTTTCTATTAGGGGTCGTTTGATAGGGTGTATAAGAATAATGTTAAATAAGGTGCATTAGTAATGCAGGGGTTAGTAATACAGAGATTATTTTTTATGCATTGTTTGGTGTGGTGTATTAAAAATTAAAATGCATTGCATAATCTTTAAGAAATTTAATTGTTTACAAAAATGCTCTCCATATTCTTTAGTTTAAGGGACTTTAAGGATAATTTTGTCTTTAATCCTGCGAATGCAATTAATAGCCTTTGTATAGCTAATGCCATGGTTTTCTATGCATTAGCTATACATAGGATAATACTAAATAGAGTGTATAACTAATGCTTGTATTAGTTATACATAGGTTGAAAAAGTGTACCAAACAAAGCATTATTAATACACAAAGCTAATGCATGCATTATTTTCTCTAACACACTCTACCAAACTACCTCTTAGTGAGACGAAGGTGCACTTTTGCACGTTTCTTGTTCATCAATCTGAGAAGTTTTCTTCCTTGTGCTACCTGGAAGTTGAAATCCTTAAGAATACGTTATTCAGACCCTGGCAACTGTAACGTCAGGTTGTTGATAAAGCTGTATGTAAGTTAAATTTTGCAGTCAAGTTATAAATTTTGCTTTAGGGGAGTAGAACTATATTCCTTTTTCTGTCAATTTTTGGACATTGATTCTTCTATTATAAGGAACTCAGGAAGTACATAAAACGACCTATAGATTACAGATATTAGAAATTAAAAAAATGCTACAAAAAATTAATTATGAGAAATTTTCATAAAGCACTATCTTTTAGTGGTAATTAACTATCTATAGATACCATTTGTTATATTACAGATTGTAGATACATTTTCTATTGTTATAAGATGTATTTGATGTATTTAAGCTACTGTATTCATGAATACATTAGCAAAAATAGACGTGAATTAGGGAAGTCAAGTTAATCAGTTGTTGTATTCGAGTGCATTCACGAGCTGTATTCGTGAATACAGTAACGTATAATGCGTAAAATATGGACCTTTCAACTGTTTTAAAACGGAAAGAAAATCAATTTACCAAATATTCTCCTAATATAACTCAACTAGCACAAACTATCGCCCGTAATCTGTATTCCTCCATTCACGAAAGATTTTCAATCCGAAAAATAGCAAAAAACAGAGCAACCTCTAGAATTTCAATTCTCCCTTTTTTCTGTTGTTCCAGTGAGTACCCAGTTCTCTTTTCAACCACGAAAAATCGTGATTGATACAATTGTAAACAGAAATAAGGTATAATTTGATTATACATATGGCAAGTTTAACAGTGTTATTGCGTCATTCTGGCAAGTGGAACAGTGAGAGCAATTACATCGATTATTCAATTGAGGGAATACTGATAAATGAGTATGTGTCGTATAATGAATTGGTTGCATCAATTTCTAATCAACTGGACATAGATTTGAGCTCAAAGTCCATTAAAATTCAATACAAAGTAGAAGGAAATTGCACGCCAATGAAAATACACAATGATATGGGTTACAGGGTGTATGTAGAGTTGAAAAAAGAGAACAGAGAATTCGGGATGTATCCTTTGTGCATAACAACGATTGACAAAGAAGTTGTATCCGGAGGTAGTTTAATTCAAGGCGACATTGTGCAAATAGACAAAGCAGTTCAAAGGTATAATTCTGATACAGATGATACACTTGCTCTTGATGTTGTTAATTCAGGAGAACCAATTGGAGTGTTCGAGCTGGACAAAGATTTATAATTTCAAAAACTAATCAAAGGGAGGTTATGGCTGGACAAGTATATAAGGATAAGACTACATTGAAAGAGGTGATGAAGCATTATGCTATATCTTAAAGGTTTCAATTCCGGGTTAATAGGTCTAATGCTATCAGGTTTGAGTGTTCTTAATTATTCATTATTTTTTTGTATATTGTATTCATGGTAGGAGTTGTAATTTGTATATAGATGTATTTAGGCGTATTTGGGAATTTTCACTTGATCTTCACTGTTGTGATTATGTATTTTTTATGTATTTCAAATACATGTATTCTTGTGTATTTTACTTGTAAAAACTTATTACCGTGGCTCTCATTGTTTTCCTTTTTGGTGTATTAGTTATGTTATGCATATAACTATAGGCGTATTCCGACATATTTAAATGTATACCATTGTATATATTTGTGTTGTATAATAATTTATATATATAAATGTAATAATGTATTCATGTATATATGAGTGTATTTTTTCTAATAGAAGATTGTGAATGGAGGTTTAAGGCTTCTAGCATTAACAAATCAGAACTATTCAAAGTGAGAGAGTTCAATGATAAGCATACATGTCCGTTGAAGGACAAGGTGTATGAGCAACGACAAGCAAGTACCAGACTTATAGGTGGTATGATTAGGCCCAAGCTTACTAATCATAAGAGAAAATACACCCCAAAGGATATAATTGATGATGTGAAATCAGATTTAGGGGTAGATGTTAGCTACATGCTGGCGTGGGGGGCTAAAGAAAAGGCAATGAATTTTTTGAGAGGTGACCCGGCTGATTCATACAAAAAATTACCAGGATACTTATATACAATGGATATGACATATCCTGGTTCGCACATTAAAATGGTAAAATCGCCCAAAAATGAGTTCATGTATGTGTATATATCTTTGTATGCCTTTCTAAATGGGTTCGATCATTGTAGACTCATTGTGATTGTGGATGGAAGTCACCTAAAATCTTACTACACCGGGACATTCGTCTCGGCTAGCACGTTAGATGGTGCTGGTGAGTATGTGGATTATAATAAATTTGTTAATATTAATAACTATGTCATATAAAATGAGTTCCATTTTAAAGATTGGAATATGATGGAGTTTCAATGTCTTTTCCTTATGCTTCTTATGCTTTAATGATCTAACAAACTTGTTGTGAAGAACCAGATAGAGAACCTGACCCACATGGTATACATTTCAAATGAATAATGTCCAAACTGAACAACCACAGGGAGGAACACAACAGGGACCTGGTGACCTGGTCCCTTAGGGTTCTCCGACAAAATTACAAGTTAGTGACTCCAGCAAATGAATGAACAATGACAAGGAGGAACACAACAGGGACCTATTGACCTGGTCCCTTAGGGTTCTCTGACAGAAGTACAAGTCAAATGTACAGCTGGAATGTAACAGTAGAAAGTGACTATCTCGCAACTGTTACAAAAGAGGAACACAACTGGGACCTGGTCCCTTAGTGTTCTCTGACAGAAGTACAAGTCAACTATACAACTGAAACGCAACTACACAAAAGAGACTATGCAACAGACAATGCAGCAGTCACTTCTCATTGGGAAGAAGCGTGTACCAAGAATTGACATCACTAACCATTGTGATGTCTTTTGTGATATAACAACCTGGTGCAAGGCACAACATTTCACTTGTGCATTCAGTGATATTCTCTCAAGCATAATAGTGTTCATCCGGCATTGAAGTCACTGGTGTGTCAAGAACAAGAAGACAACTCCACTAAGGATCAGTTTCATAATGAGTTTATGTATATCCGTAGTTGAGTTGTAATCTTGTTATTTGTTCTTCATTGTATCTCCTATTTTGCTTTCTTAGAAGCTTTGTCTTAGGAAAATCAAAATTCGTAAACTTTCGAGTTTATGTTATGACTAGGATTAGTCATAAGTTTAAAGTCTTTGTTACTAGAAGAGTCACAAAATGGCTTGTGGTGAGAGCATCACAAGTTAGTTGAAGTCTTTGTAATAGGGCTATCACAAAGTGGCTTGTAATAGCGAGATTGTAAGTTAGTGAAGTTAAAAGCCTACAAGTGTAGGTCGTGGTTTTTTGATTCCCTTGTGTGGCCTTGTCTTCTTTACTTACAGTTTTATTGGCATTCTCAGCTTAACCTCATAGAGGACCAGGTACTCTACTATTTGGTGGACTCATACAAACTAACAATTAGTATCATAGCGGGTTCTTTCTAATAGGCTAACACCTAGAAAAGATCTCAATGACTTCTCCACCCAACTTTGAGGAAGGACAATCAACCTACAAACCTCTTAGATTCAATGGTCAATACTATGACTAGTGGAAGACTCGCATGCATGATTTTATAATGGCCGAAGATTGAGAACTATGGGACATCATCTGTGATGGTCCACATGTTCCTAAGAAGAAGCTTGAAGAAACTAGACCAATGGTGCTGAAAGAAAGAAAAGAGTACAACGACACTGATAGAAATGCCGTAGAAAATGAGCTCTTTAGGATGAAGGATGATGAGTCTATACATGATATGCACACCAGACTCACCTCCATCATAAATGAACTTCATTCACTTGGAGATATCATTCCCAGAAACAAGCTTGTAAGGAAAATCCTCAGTGTTCTACCTGGTTCTTGGGAAAATAAAGTAAATGCCATCACAGAAGCTAAAGATCTACAAACTCTAACCATGGATGAGTTGATTGGTAATATGAAGACATACAAGATGAAAAGAAAGAAAGACAGTGAAAGGAGAGAGCCGAAGAAGGAAAAGAACCTGGTACTCAAAGCTAAAAGCAGTGACTCAAGTGATGAAGATAGTGACATGTATCTTACTAAAAGATTTCAAAAGATAGTTCAAAGAAATGGTGGTATACCAAAAAGGGGAAGTTCAAGTAAAGCAAGGAACAATGATCTCTGTCACAGGTGCGGAAAGCCAGGGCATTTCATCAAAGACTGCCCACTCGTGAAATAGGAGCAATACAAATAAAATCCTGACAAAGCAGCAAAAAGGAACCTGGTTCCAGACAAACGATTCAATCGAAAAAGTGCAGCTGACAATATTGTGAAGCAAGCACTTGTTGCTTGGGGAGACTCCTCCAATGAATCAGAAAGGGAACCAGATGCAGAAAACAGTTCCATGAGGGCAGTGAAAACTGAAGCAACGAAATATGACTCACTATTCGCGTTGAT